AAAAAATTTTAAAATGAAGAGATTAGAAAAATATCGCCAAGCAAACAGCTCAATTCTGGGAGTCATTCTTCTCGTATTACTCCGGATATTTTCTAAAAAGTTGTGTACTTTGCAGTATTTCGAATAATCCGAATAATTAATTTCTATGGAGGTTATAAAATTCCGAAATCATTTCCAACAATTGTAATCTTCTGGCAATTTCGGATGATTAATTCTTATAGAGCTTATCAAATTTCGAATAATTTCTAATAACTATAATTTTCTGATGTTTCGGGTAAGTAATTTTTATAGAGCTTGGAATATTTAGAATAATTTCTAAAAACTACAATTTACCCTTCCAATTTCGGTGACAATTTTTATAAAACTTGTAATATTTCGAATATTTTTCTTGTTTTTTAATAATAAAGGGATTATAGTTGTTCAACTATAATCCCTTTATTAATAATTCCGGAGGTAAATTTTAATAGATTGCAAATGTTGCTGTATTCCGGATTGCCATTACACACCATAAATAATTGTGAAGAAGATAAGAAGAGAGGAAATGAGAAAGAATGAAGAGCTTCATCATTTTGCTAATCTTATTACAACCTCAATTGAACATTTGTATCTTATATATGTAGCTAAAATGCTAACCAAATGATTAATAAAACTATTCGTGTGTTAATCTTTAATCTTTGATAAAATTATCATCGAATTAATCTTTGATCTTTTCGTTTCATCTCAGTGATATCTTTTTCTTTTTTTTTGTTCTTAAACTTTTTCGAAACATTTCATTTCTTTTTACTTTCTTTCTAAAATTTTTAAAATTTGCTTTTGGTTTTTTTAATTTTTTTTTGGCTTTCCTTCTTTCTCAAAATAATTTATACTTTTTTAATTTTTCCTTTTTCTTCTTTCTCTTTTTATCTTTTTGAAATTTATTGAAATTTGGATTTGCTTTTTTTTCCTCTCTTCTCCTCAAAATACTTTCCACTTTTAAAACAAAAAAAATTTTTTTTTCGTAAGAGTTAAGCTTTCAGGAAAAAATAATTAAATTTTTGAATAGAAACATTCATAGATTAAACAAAAAATAATTAAATAAATTCTTTCCTATCCTCTAATAACGGAGTGAAATCGACTAGACAATCATAATTTTACTGTTGCTACAATGAATGAAAAATTATCAAAATATAAAAATTAGCAATTTTATTAAATAAAAAATAAAAACTTTTTTTTCTTTTTTTTGTTGCTGAATTGGCAATATTTTTAGGAAAATGGAAGTAAACGGGAAAAATGAATGAAAAATTAAAACATAAGGTTAATCAAAAAGAAAAAACAAAACTGATTAAAATAATTTGAAACTGGAAATTTTAATGAAATAACAGGGGAAAAAGGAATGAAATTGGTAAAATAAATTGAAGCCACTTTTAATTGATTATTTTCGACAATTTTAAAAGTTTTAAAAATATTCCTCCCAAAAACAGTTTTTCATTTTTATTTTTAAAAAACGAAATAAAGAAATAAGAAAAGCATTTAGTGTGAAAAGCAATTTTGTAAAAAAAAAAGAAAATGCTTGCTACCATGACAATAAAGATGATTACAGATTTTAAGTAAACGATTATGTAATTTTCAATATTTATCCTTTCATATTGATTAAATGTAAAAAATGTTGAAAATATTGAGGCGAAATAAAAGACGAAAAATGTTTCAAATAGGTATTAATTAATAATTTTTTTTAGATATAAAATTCTTAACAAATTATTTGATTTAAAGAAAAAAAAGAGGAAAGTTTTTTTTTCTTTAAATTAGAATTGAAATCATGTAATAGTAGAGTTAAGCGTTAACTTCATCAGTAATCAATTAATATTAGTGCTGTATTAATAGCAATAATAGTGATACATAAGTGATAGTGACAATAATTGGCTAATATTAATTAATTATTCAATTGTTTGGTTGAAATCGTTCCACTGAATTTGTATATTTTTGCTCGCAACTAAAAATAAATTTTTTATAACTAATATAAAATTACAATTATTATTCTGGAAAAAAGTGACCAGAAAACAAAATAAAACGATGGCGAAAAAATAGGTGATGGCATCATTAATTAGCTAATACTAATTAACCAATTATCAGACTGAAATTTTTGTACTGAATTTGTATATTTTTGCTTGCAACTAGAAATGAATTTTTGTACTAATATAAATTAAAATTATTTTTAAAAAAGTGATTAGAAGCGAAATAAAAGAATGAAAATATAAATAAATTGTATTAATAAAAAGGAAAAAATTAGGTCGAAAAATTAACGCTAAATTTAAAAAAATTTGACTTCATTTATTCTTAACTCAAAAGTTTAATCCATTTCTAATTATTCACATTTTTATGTATTCAAGTACAAAAAAAAACAACTTAGCAATAAAGAAATGGATGAAATTTGAAAAGAATATTTGAAAATACTCTATATATACTTATATATATAAATTACTCTTTGTTTTTTGGCTAATTTTTCATTTTTCTTCAAATTTATCAATAAGCCTACTTTTCCAATTTTTTTTTCAAAAAGGACAAGAAAAAAGTTTGCTGCAAAGTTTTTTCTTTTTAAAAGGCATTTATCATTGATAAAATAAGCCAAGAAAAACAAAAAAAAGACAAAAATCAAAAAAAAGCAAAAAGAAAGCAAAGAAAAGCTCATCAAATTTGTTAGTACATATGTATATATGGAAATACTACTTGACAGCAAAGTTGCCCGAAGCACTTGAGAGCCAAATTGCCTATAGCACTTGGCAGCCAAGTTATCTTCATTCATAAAATATTGGCCAAATTTAACATTTGGTATTTGCATTCTTTAATATAGCATTTTTGTTGTTTTAAATGGAAAAAAAGCACAGAATAGTTCTTAAAAAGTAGAAAAAGAGAGAAAAAAAATTCCAAAATTACAATTTTGATGGAAGTTTTAGTTTTTCTATTTTTTTAAATTTTGATATAAAGTATGAGAAAAAGAAACTTTCTTCTCTTATCTGCCTTTTTTTACTTTCCACAAAAAAAGAGAAGTAGAAAGAAATCTCGGGAGTAGACAAGTCGCTTTTTCTGAAAAATTACGAACTTTCATTTTGTTTAATTATGAAAAAAATGGTGTTAATTAAAAATTTCGTTTTTTTTTGAATAAATAAAATCTGCGAATAAATTACAGCTATTTGCGATTTTTTGACTTTTTAATTTTTAATAACAAGAAATTTTTAATAAAAATTGAAAAAAGAAAAGAATGAACGAAAATTTGGAAAACATTAATTTTCTCGCATTGCTGTTAAAAGTTAGTTAGTCGAGACTAAAATAAAAGATTGCCACCAATTTTCGTGGATTACAAAAATTCGAGTAAACTGCCAAATGATTAATTAGCTCGAAAATAGCATTACTTTTCTTCTCAAAAAAAAAAAGAAATTCATTATTTTGAAAAAGAAGATAAAAATGAAACAATACATTAGGATCGTGAAAGGAAGCAAGAGATATTACGACAATAACAATAATAACAACAATAATAATAATTACAATAATAATAATAATAATAATAATAATAATAATAATAATAATAATAATAATAATAATAATAATAATAATAGTAATAATAATAATAGTAATAATAATAATAATAAGTAATAATAATAATAA